CTTCACTGTGGATATTTTCCACTGACTAATTTATCTCCCATCTTACCAGTTCTCATTTCAGCTCTGGTTAATTTGCTGTTGAATACATCATTGTGGTTATTTTATTGCCTGATTCTAAATTATTCATTTGATACACTTTATAGTTTTCAGTGTTTTGTTGGCTTTTTCATTTTGTTGTCTACCTTAGTAAATATTTTAAGCAGCTATTTAAAAAAATTTTTTTTAACATTTATTTATTATTGAGAGATGGAGAAAGACAGACCGTTTGCAGGGGAGGGGCAGAGAGAGGGAGACACAGAATCTGAAGCAGGCTCCAGGCTCTGAGCTGTCAGCACAGAGCCCGATGTGGGGCTCGAACCCACAGACTGTGAGATCATGACCTGAGCTAAAGCCGGATGCTCAACCGACTGAGCCACCCAGGCGCCCCGTTAAGCAGTTATTTTGACCTCTGTCAGTTAACTCCAACATTTGCATCTCCTCTAAATTGACTGCTTTTTGTTGGTTTTTATTTTCTTTTTTTTTTTATTATTTTTTTTTTTCAACGTTTATTTATTTTTGGGACAGAGAGAGACAGGGCATGAACGGAGGAGGGGCAGAGAGAGCAGGAGACACAGAATCGGAAACAGGCTCCAGGCTCTGAGCCATCAGCCCAGAGCCCGACGCGGGGCTCGAACTCACGGACCGCGAGATCGTGACCTGGCTGAAGTCGGACGCTTAACCGACTGCGCCACCCAGGCGCCCCTGGTTTTTATTTTCGTTTTTGTTTTTGGTGTATGTCTTCTGGCATGCTTCATAAGTTTTGATGGAATGCTGAACATTGAAAAATATGAAATAGTTTAGATATAACTTGAAGCTGTGGATGATGATGTTTTTTTTCCTTCAGAGAAGATTTAGTTTTTTTATAAAGTTTTTTTTTTAATTATTTTTTTTAACATTTATTTATTTTTGAGACAGATAGAGACAGAGCGTGAACAGGGGAGGAGCAGAGAGAGAGGGAGACACAGAATCTGAAACAGGCTCCAGGCTCTGAGCTGTCAGCACAGAGCCCAACGCGGGGCTCAAACTCACAGACTGTGAGATCATGACCTGAGCCGAAGTCGGATGCTTAACCGACCAAGCCACCCAGGCGCCCCGAAGATTTAGTTTTTTACTTTTGGCATATCTAGAGGTTAGGGGTTTGGCTGATTCTAGGCTAAGTTTTGGTCTTTGTTTTTGTTTTGTTTTGTTTTTCTTTTCTTTCTTTTTTTTTAACGTTTATTTATTTTGGGAAAGAGAGAATGAGTGTGCATGCATACACAAGCTAGGGAGGGGCAGAGAGAATCCTAAGCAGGCTCTTTGCTATCAGCACAAAATCTGACATGGGGCTTGATCTCACTAACTGTGAGATCGTGCCCTGAGCCGAAATCAAGAGTCAGACTCATAACCGACTGAGCCACCCAGGCACCCCAGTTTTGGTCTTTGTACAGGCTGGTCAGTGTTGTTCACTCTTACTCTTTAGGCATAGTCCTTCAGAGGTTCCAACAGAAAGCCTGTGTATTTGCCAGTAGCACTCTACCTTGTTGGGCCTTGGGCTCCAGTTTTTATATGCCCAGCACCATGAGACTGTAGACTGCCTTGTTTAAGTTCTTCAGCCTCTCAAGCCACTGCTGCAGTTAGGGAGTCCCATTCAACAAGCTTCTTCAGATGCCCCACCAGCAACTTCTACTTATATATTATTGGCCAAAATTGTATCATATGGCTGTCCTTAGCCACTATCACCTGGCTTCAGAGGAGACTAGGAAATGTTTTGCTGAACCCAAAACTACCCTCTCCAAAAACAAAACAAAACAAAAAATACCTAACTTGTTTTGCTATAATCCAAATCTATAAAATGATGACAGATGTAAATAAAACCAAACTTTTGTATGAATGTATATTAAGGAATACTAAATATTTTCTCTAAGATGTTCATAGATTTGGGTTTCTAATACTGAAAAGTAGTTTCAAGTAATTTTTTAAAACTTTATTTTTCCTAAAAAACAGGACTCTTTGGTAGTAGAAATATTTAAAATCTAGATGAGCAAAAAAATCTGAAATCCTACCAACCAAAGATAACTTCTGTCAGTGTTTTAGTAGATGACTTGTAGTAAATTCATATAGTAATATATATAGTATGTTTCATTTTTCCAAATTAACATTATACACCCTATTTTCTAACTTGTTTCTTTTGCTAAGTATCATGTACATACTTTCATGTTAAAGTATACAATGAGGTAGTGTGTTTCATAGTTTAGAAATGATAATTTCCTTGATTTAACTTATAATGCTTTTTTTTTTAAGTTTATTTCTTTATTTTGAGAGAGAGAAGAAGAGAGGGAGAATCCCAAGCAGACTCCCTGTTATCTGTGCAGAGCCGTACGCAAGGCTTGACCCTGAGACAGGGAGAGAGAGAGAGAGAGAATATCCCAAGTAGGCTCCGTGCTATCAGCACAGAGCTCGACCCCAAACCACAAGATCATGACCTGAGCCAAATCAAGAGTCAGATGTCCAACCAACTGAGCCACCCTGATGCCCCTAATTCATAATGCTTTTTAAAAAAATTTTTTTTAACGTTTATTTATTTTTTTGGGACAGAGAGAGACAGAGCATGAACGGGGGAGGGGCAGAGAGAGAGGGAGACACAGAATCAGAAACAGGCTCCAGGCTCTGAGCCATCAGCCCAGAGCCCGACGCGGGGCTCGAACTCACGGACCGCGAGATCGTGACCTGGCTGAAGTCGGACGCTTAACCGACTGCGCCACCCAGGCGCCCCCATAATGCTTTTTAATTTTAGTGTTCCACCCTGACAGTATATGTCTTGTGGTTACCTATTCTGTCCCCAGTCTTTTCTTGACCAGGTTAAATACACAATTATGTTATTGCTAATACCAGAGGAATGGTCTCTTCAACAGCCAGTAGGAATAATGAACGTATTAGGTAGGCTCTGACTGAATGATAATGATTCCTCATAGAATCCCATTAAATATATACATTTTTTATTTCTAGGCTTTACTTGATGCAGTGCTATGATTTTTAGTTGTGAATGGAACTATTGTACTTTTTTTTTCCCTACTCTTATTTTAATAGTTTCAATTGTTTTAGAACTAGGATAGATCCTAGATATTTCCTGAGAGACTGTTGGGAGTGCCTTGTTAGCATACAGTTTCGACCATTAAATGCATACATGTTAAAATAGTAAAATTGCTTTGAGCTGCAAATGTTGATGCAGTTGGCTAGGCTCACTTAGTAAGTGACACACGTATGCTGGCCTGACAGCAAAGATGATTCAAAATTCGAGTTGAGTAATATTAAAAATTACTACACATCATGAACCTCTTCTGGGTCATTGTCTAGTAGTAGGGGTTGTGAATATTAAAGTAGAATTAATGACCAATTTTATAAATTTTATGTGAATTTATCGATAGTTGTGCCTGAATTTTTAGTGGAAAATTGGCTTAGTTTAATTCCAGTTCCACCTAACTTCCAATTTTACTACTGCTAATGCTTTTGTTTCTTTAGAACTTAGCTTTCTCTTGCAGACTTTTGTGTTGAGATCCGCCAATCAGTGTTGTTGCTCCTCACTACGCATCTAACCCTGAGCTTTGTAGTTAATGCACCTCAGATTCACGCTTACGGAGCAAACCCTCATAAGATAATGAGGCCGATTCAGGTTAGATTACTGTGAAAGAATGTCTGAAAGGGGTTATTCCAAAGAGGAACAGTGACTTGATAATGAACTTTCCTATCTCTGATGAAATTACTTACGTCAAAAAAAAAAAAAAAAAAAAAAAAAAAGGGGGGGGGCGCCTGGGTGGCACAGTCGGTTAAGCGTCCGACTTCAGCCAGGTCACGATCTCGCGGTCCGGGAGTTCGAGCCCCGCGTCGGGCTCTGGGCTGATGGCTCGGAGCCTGGAGCCTGTTTCCGATTCTGTGTCTCCCTCTCTCTCTGCCCCTCCCCCGTTCATGCTCTGTCTCTCTCTGTCCCAAAAATAAATAAACGTTGAAAAAAAAAAATTTTAAAAAAGAAATTACTTACGTCATCAGCCCCTAGACATCACACCCCTGAAATCTCTACTGTGAGAATTTGTCATGTCAGCTGGGTGGAGGTAATCCAAGACTGATTCTTAACCACTTCAGAATTGCTCGTAACCAGTTTAGAATTGCTCATCACTGGTGGCAGCATGAAAATATCAAGCTCCAGATTGTATTGTCCCTATGCCTTCATTTCATGAGAAGTTGAGTTTGCTTTAAATTTATATGTAGTACTGGATTTTTACAACTCCCATTTATTAACAGCTAATTAAGAAAGTACTCATTTATTTTCGGTATCCCATTTTTTTCATTAGGGCTCTTGGTCCTATATTATCTTCTGTTTATTGTCTTCCCACTAGATTGCGAGCTTCTTATAAGCAGTGATTGTTGTCTTATATATCTATTGATTCCTACCCAGCCCTACAGTGAGTGACTACTAAAATATAGTAGATATTCCATAAGTCTTTAATTTTCAGAGAAGTGTTGACAACTTGAGTCTTACTAGCTCTAACTTAGTTTTATTTTTCAGAATTGTATGATTTCTCTCGACGTATAATGATACTGCCTCTATCCTTATTGATGGTTTAGATTTTCTGGAAAAAGCATTCTATATTTTATAATTTGCTTTCATTTCAAAGTTTCCTAAAACATAAATGCTACCTTTTTAAAAAAATCTATGGTAATTGAGATTCATAAATACTTTTTGAACTGGGATTACATTCTTAGATTTGAATGCCGTGTCTGATATAAGCATTTGACTAGATCTACATCGTTGGTTATTAGTCATTTAACGAGTACTTAATATGGGCAAAGCCATGTGCTAGGGATCACAAATTTAGTTAGTGAATAACTAAATATTTTAGGTACCATTTGAAAAAGTACATACCTTTAATAATTTGTCAGCAAAATAGACTACTCAGTTTGCCAATTTTTTTTTTTTCTCATTATAGGGTAAAGTTCACCTTGAATTAAAACTGAATGAACTGATAACAGAGAATGGAACTGTGTGCCAGCAGCTTGTTGTACAGTAAGCATATTTCTTTTACCAAAATCAACTGGAAATAATTCTCCATTTTGTATTCTTTGAACCTTAAGCCCACACCTTATTTTATATACTTCAGAAACTTTTTTGAAAAATGAAACTCTGCTGTGTTGTTCCTTATATTAAGTTGATTTCCAGTTTGTTTTCTTATGTCTAGTCTACTCAGGTTGTGATAAGTCATTAATTCATTCAGCCTTATTTATTGAATGTGGGTTAAATGATAGAGTTAGGCAAGGGGCTGTTACAGGATCATGGATAAACGTGTCTAACTACCTGGCAGAAGAGAATTGGAAAGGCTTCCTATTAGAGGGCCTCTAGAGAAGAGACTGATACCACAGAGTTGAGCATTAGGAACCCTGGGACTAAAACTAAATGGCTACCTTGAGAATGTATTGATTGTCACCTACTTAAAAATTCCTGTTTTGCCCTCAAGTCATTTTCTGAGGTTCAGACTCTAATCTTCTAACTGCTCTGGAAATCTGTTCAAGCCTAATTCTCTCTTTTCTCTTCCACCCAAACTTTTCCTCTGTGTTATCAACAAACTACTGGATATCCCTGACTTCTTTTTCTCTTTGTATTAACTAATAATCTGAATATCCCCTGAGTTACTGTTTCCTTTACTGCCTTCTCAATTAGATGCTGTTTTCTACCATACCCACTTACCTTACAGTGGGGTGAGTGTTTCTCTCTAGACTATAATTTATTCTCCTTATTATGAACACCCCAGCCCCTTTGAGGCATTTTCCCCTCCCTCTCTCCTCCTCTCTGTCTCTCTTTATTTATTTATGTTTATTAAATATATAATATTACTTTTTTTAGAACTCTTTTTTTTTTTAAGTTTATTTTGAGAGAGAGAGAGAAAGAGAGAGAGAGAGTGCAAGCAGGGGAGGGGCAGAGAGAGAGGGAGAGAGAGAATCCCAAACAGGTTCTGCACTATCAGGATGGAGCCCAACATGGGGCCTGATCCCACGAACTGTGAGATCATGACCTGAGCTGCCATCAAGAGTTGGACGTTCAACCGACTGAACCACCCAGGTACCCGTAGAACTCTTTTAAGGAAGGTTGCATATATCATGATCCTTAATATATCAGTGTATAGTCCTAAGAGTAAGTATATTCTCTTAAATAACCGTAATACAATTATCAAACTCAGGAGGCTCAACATTGTTACAATAAAAGTATAATGTATGGGGTGCCCGGGTGGCTCAGTTGGTTGAGTGTTGGACTTCAGCTAAGGTCATGATCTCACAGTCTGAGTTCGAGCCCCACATTGGGCTCTGTGCTGACAGCTCGGAGCCTGGAGCCTGCTTCAGATTCTGTGTCTTCCTCTCTCTCTGCCCCTCCCCTGCTCATGCTCTGTCTCTCTTTGTCTCAAAAATAAATAAAAACATTAAAAAAAAATTAAAAAAAAAAGTATAATGTATGCTTTTTATATTCCAGTACTTTAATCTACAGTTATTATATTTTACTTTTGTCAGCTGTCCTGATAACGCCCTTTAAGGTATTTTTTCTTCTCCAAGAAAGGATCCAGTCCAAGATCATGTATTACATTTAGTTTACATGTCTCTTTAATCTCCTCAACCAGTAATCGTTTTTAGCTTTTCTTTATCTTTTATGGTGTTGAGATTTTTGAAGTCCTTTTGTTTTTGTTTTTTTAATGTTCCTCAGTTTGGATTTACTTACTAAAAACAGCTCAAGATGTGTTTGCAGTATTTTTCCCCCTAGACTGAGAAGCATATAGTGCAAGTATGTGGAGTAGTCCCTTTCCACCACTCCCTCCCCTGCTCACTTTGGTTATGTTATAACATTTGAAATAGTTGGTTTGGTTTCATTTGGTTTGGTTTGTTTGCATTCAGGTTAATGGGATTTTGCCCCCATTCTTGTTGTTTACTTCTATTTTTTTTAATATGTAGAATATTAGCACAACTTCAAAAGTCGAAACTCTAATAAAACACATTACTCAGAGATGTGTTCAGTCCCCTCTCCTTATGCTCAGTTCCAGGCAACCATGATCTGATTTTAGTCCCTATAGTTTTGCCTTTTCCAAAATGTCATATGGACAGATTCATATAATATGTAGGCTTTTGTGACTAGCCTCTTTCATTTAGCATAATGCTTTTGAGATTCATCCACGTTGTTGCATATATCAGGAGTTCAATCTTTTTTTTAGGTATTATTTATTTATTATTATAACTTGGTAGATACTCTTGTCCTTATTTTACAGGTGATAAAACAATACACAGATTGGTTAAATGAGCCCAAGTTTGTACAGGGAGTGGTAGAGCCTGGATTTGAACTGTGGCAGTTTGATTTTTTTTTTAACTTCTTGCTTTTGAGATAATCATAGATTTATAAGAAATTACAAAGTATGGAGAGGTCCTGTGTACCCTTCGCTCAGTATTTCTCAATAATTACATCTTATATAACTATAATACAATGTAAAAACTGGAAAAGTGACCTTGTTTACTGTACAGTATGTTGTATATCTTTTATCGTATGTGTAGATTTGTGGTAACTGCCACAATCAAGATACGTAAACTTTCTGTCACAATAAATATCTTCCTTATGCTACCCTGTTATACTCACACCCATTCCTTCCCCCACTAACATTTGTAACCTTTGGCAACCTCTAATCTGTCTCCATATCTATATTTTTGTCATTTCAAGAATGTTATGTAAATGGAGTCTTATCATATATAACCTTTTGATATTGGCTTTTTCAATCAGATCCATCCAATTTTGTGTAGTTTCTTATAGATAGAATATAGTTGGGTGTCACTTTTTAAAACCCACTCTGCCAGTCTTTTCTTTAGTGAATTTATAGCATTTACTTTTAATGTAATTACTGATGTGTTAAGCTTAAATCTGCCACTTTTTGGTTTTTCTCTTCTCTTTTACTGTTTTCTTTTTCCTTTGAGTTCCTTGAACATTTTTTAGAATTCCATTTTGATTTACCTATACTGTTTTTCTATCTCTTTGTGTAGTTTTTTAGTGGTTGCTTTAGGATTACATTATACATGTATAACTTATTGTAGTCTACTGGTATTGCTGTTTTACTGGTTAGAATAAAGTGTAGAAACCTTACCTTCTTTTAAATCCCTTTACCCTCCACCATTCTATAGTATAATTATCTTAATGTTTCCCCTGAAAACATTAAGAACCACATCAGTATTACAATTTTTGCTTCAGCCATCTAACACAATTTAGAACAATTAGAGAGGGGAAGTCTAAGTTTGTTGTATTTGCCCATATTTTTGCTCTTTCCATATTCTTTTTTCTTTCCTGTTGTTTTAGGATCCCTTCTTTTATCTCTGTCTTATTGTTTAGAGAATCTCCTTTTACTGTTCTTTTAGGGTAGGTCTATAAATGATACATTGTCTTAGTTTTCCTTTATCTGAGAATGTCTTGATTTTTTTCTTTATTCCTGAAGGATATTTTCAATGGATATAGAATTCTTGGTTGATAGCTCTTTTTTTTTCAGCACGTGAAAAATATATCACTTGCTTCTGGCCTCTGTGGTTTTTTGAATTCACTGTAATTCTATTTCCTGTGCAGGTAATGCACTTTTTCTCCCTGGTTACTTTGAAGATTTTGCCTTTAGTTTTCTATGTGTTTCAGTTTCACTATGAGGTATTTTGACATAGATTTCTCTGAGTTTATCCTGTTTGGTATGTTCAGTCAGCTTCTTGAATCTGTATGTTTGCATCCTTTGCCAAATTGGGAAATTATTGGCCATTATTTCTTGTAATACTCCATCAGCCTTGCTATCTTTCTCCTCTTCTCTTGAGATTTCAATGGCATAAATGTTAGATCTTCTATTATAGTCCCACAGGTCCCTGAGGTTCTGCTTTTCCCACCCCCACTTCCCCTCCCCCAGTCTATTTTCTCTCCCTTGTTCATATTGAGTAGTTTCTGCTGTTCTGTCTTTAAGCTCACTGATTATTTCCTCCATCCCCTCCATTCTACTGTTAAGCCCATCTGTCAAGCTTCTTTTGGTTTTAAGTATTAAAATTTGCTTTTGATTCTTCTTTATATCTTTTCTTTCTTTAATGACTTTCTATTTTTTTGCTGAAACTTTTCATATTTCAGATGTAATTGCTCATTGAATCATTTTTAGGATGGCTGCTTTCACATTTTTGTCAGATAACTCCAACATCGATGTTATCTCTGTGTTGTCGTCCTCTGCTGGTTGTTTTTTCTCATTTAAAGCTACTTTATGGGGCGCCTGGGTGGCTCAATCAGTTGAGCATCTGACTTCGGCTCAGGTCATGATCTCGTGGTTCGTGGGTTCAAGCCCTGCATCGGGCTCTGTGCTGACAGCTCGGGGCCTGGAGCCTGCTTCGGATTGTGTGTCTCCCTTTCTCTCTGCTCCTCCCCTGCTCACACTCTGTCCCTCTCTCAAAAATAAATAAAGATTAAAAAAAATTGTTTTTTAAAATTTTTTTTTTTTCAACGTTTATTTATTTTTGGGACAGAGAGAGACAGAGCATGAACGGGGGAGGGGCAGAGAGAGAGGGAGACACAGAATCGGAAACAGGCTCCAGGCTCCGAGCCATCAGCCCAGAGCCTGACGCGGGGCTCGAACTCACGGACCGCGAGATCGTGACCTGGCTGAAGTCGGACGCTTAACCGACTGCGCCACCCAGGCGCCCCCAAAAAAATTGTTTTTAAAGCTACTTCATGGGTAGTATTCCATTGTATTGAATTTGTTTCTCTATTCATCACTTGGCAGATATTTGAATTGTTTCCAGTTTGAGGTGATTATAGAGAAAGCTGCTATAAATGTTAACAAGTAGGTCTTTGTATGGGCACATGATGGTCTGTATTCTTTTCTTCTTTCTCTTCTCTTTCACTTGAACCTCCACAGTCCATACTCCTTGGCCTGCAACACCAGAGCTCCAATAGCAACTTTGCAGAATTTATTGTTGATTTCTCAACTTTTAGAGGTTTGTGGTATTCTGGTTTTTAGTACCACTGAAAGCATA